TTTGACCCATGAAGAACTCAGATCAAACGAACCACATGTTGATTGAATAAAAATAATTTACAGGCCAGGAAAAGGATAAATCAGCTTAGAATTAGAGAAAAAAGAATATCTGCGTCATAGGTAATCACATAGTCTCATTTGTGTAAAGTCACTAATGTACCCCTTTTTATCGTTTTTTTTTTCTTATCATAAAACCTTTCTTATTACTTAGTATGAGCAACATTACAGGTGCTAATAGTAAAGCCAAACCTGCTTTGCCTCCAGGAGCACCTTACTTCACCCCGGATTTTAGTGATTTCATTTTGTTCAATCTTTGAAAATCCCCACCTCGGATAGTTCGAACATGAACGAGCGTTACGTATTAAATGAAATAGGTAAATCATTACGTTTTTCATAGATTCCAATTTAAATCGTACAGCTGTGTCAATAATTGCGAAAATAGAAACTGCTATACAATAACACACATACTTTATACAGCTACTTCATCAGAGCCAAGTATATATGCAGCATTCAGTAACGGCGAAAGAAATTCATGTGAAATCAGAGATCTCAAGGAGAAAATATTTACATTTTCAGATTTAAAAAAATAATAGTTGTATGACGTCAGTTGGTTAAATGTTGCAAACGCCAACCGCAGTTGGAAAGCAGATCACGGTTTGACCTCAAGTCTATCAGCAACATTAGAGTTACGTTACCCTGAAAATTTAGTAAAACTACGGATGACACAAACCTCATTTTGACTCACTAAAATACCACTGTCATGATAAAAACTTATTGATCAAAATAATCTTGAATATATACATAGTTATAACTCGTCAAAACTTACACATCAACTCAAAGTCCTTTTTTCTTCATTTTATCTTCAAACTTGAAGTTTGTGTGAAAATTGTCAGGTCTTCTGATCGAAAAATCTAAATATTTTCGAGGAAACTAAAAATGATGGGCTGAATTTGAAGTTAATAAAGCATTTCATTAAGACAAACACTCGATATGAATATCTAGGCAATAGAGTTTTGAACACGTAAACGTCAAGTTATTTTCAACACGAAGAGGTAGTTTTTTGCCGATTTGTGCAAGTGGTTATCTCCCCTTGATATCACCAGTCTAAAATAAAAACCCAGCAAAATGAATAAAAAGGAGTTTACTTTACAAAACTCAAGAAGAAAATAAATGAAATTCGGTTTACAAGTATGTTATCATAATATTAAGAAGAGATACTTCCCTAATTTTCATAGAATGATTAGAGGTAAAAATTAAAAGACAAAAAAATTGGTAAAAATTAAAAATATTACCTAGAAACCTAGCTGAATGGATATAAAATTAATTAGCTAGGGCTGATGAAAATATACTTTGTAATTTTTATAATGAGATATGGGATCACTCCTAGTAGAATTTGCTTTAAATACTTCTAACAATGTTAAATGCAATAAAACATACTTTACACAATTTAAATAATCTTTCTGAAATAAAAATAATAAATAATACTATATAAAAGATAGACCAAGTGTCACAATTGTTTCTCAAAAGTAAAAAAAACCTTTTAGCTCAATCCTATGTGTTTTTGTAGCCCTTGCCAAATTTTCAGGGTATATTATAGATTATGAAAGTAAACTTTATGAAATAAACAAAATGGGGCTTCTACTTTTCAGATTATGTATCAGCTGATATACATATTTATAAACAAAGTATTGTATATTTTACCTTAATAATTGGATGTTTATATCACAAATGACAGTTGGTGCACAAATGACAGTTGGTGGGACAAATCTTGTGCCTTTTAGTTTTACTTGGAGATTGTAAAATTTGACAAGAATTTGCCATTTGAATAAATTCAATTTTGTAAGAAAACATATCTATGAATTGAATTTCTTGTTTGACTTGATAAGCTAGTTTTTGCACTTATTACTGTAGCTTATTTAGTAAAAAAATAATCAAATAAGCAAGGTTTTTAACTTATAAGCATAACTAACTGACCACCAATTCCTTTTTCACATGTTTTTCTCCAGAAATTTTCATTGCAAGGCATTTTCTCTTGATATTTTTTGTGTTTTTGTCCATCCATAGGCTATCATTAATTTGTCAGATTTGTTTCCAGTATGAATAAAATTTTATAAGACGGACAGTTTCAAACGCAATAAAGATGATCTATGTTTCACTTTTCCAATGTGTAAATTTTCACTATGCACATGACCCTGACGCATATTTTGTTAACGTTATATGACGTAAGTTAAAAACAGAAAACAACGTCACCGTCAATTTGTGTAGGGGATCAAGAAGGGTTTTAGTTACTTTGAAATAGAGGTATCGTATGGAATTGTAAAAACAACAATTTTTAAACACAATTTCATTCATATCTCTAATAAAATCAGTATTTTAGAGTACTTTGGAAACCGGTACAATAAAATGAAGCTGAAATTCATTGTTTTAAACTAGAAACGCAGCCAAAACCATCTACAAATTGACATGACTGGTGGCCACTAAAATTGTTGTATTAGAACAAAATATGATGGCTTCATAATTGTGTAGAAATTTGAAATAGGTTACCCGGTTTCATTTACGATTTTTAACGTTCTTTTTCGTATTTGGATACGCAAACGTCAAGTTATTTAAATTCGATGTTTTTTGGCGAACAAACAAGATGGCTGATAATTTTTAGAACAAACATGATAAAGTAATAGCAAAAGTTATTATCGACAATGCTTCTATGTCGTATTGAAACTATATTGTTCACAAAACCTACAAACTTGAAAAATCAATTATAATAAAAGCATGACAAGTTGAAAAAAATAGTTTAAACGTTGATTTTTTAGCCGATTGATTTCGCGGAATTTTTGACGACAGTGGTATAGCTAATGGTCATAAAGATTTGTAAACACGTCTCTTCTCCACTATTGTTTATTTTGGGGCGGTCAGTTATTTAGTGGAGGAAGCCGCAGTGCCCGGAGAGAACCACTGACCTTCGGTAGAAAAACTGACAATGCTAGTCAATTAAGATTGGAGTCGAACACACATGTCACATGCGGGACTCGAACTCACAACATCTGTATTGACAGGCTAGTGAAACAGTTATTGAACAACTTAGACCACTCGGACAACGAGGCTCCTGGTTCGTCTTGAAGCGCTTTACTGGAATTACATTTATCGGGAACTCTCAAACCCAAAACATTTAAAGCCGATGATTTATAACTGCTTAAATTCCAGTTGGAAACTGAGTTTCTTAAAAGTTTCTAAATTTGTCAACTTAGAATTTAAGACAAATATGTCTTTGGTCATATTTTGCCTATTGTTGCATTAAGACACCTGTTGAATGTTTCTCCTGATACCATATATACAAGGCTCTCATACGTAGTGGGATAGTTTGCAGTTTACATATTATATCGACATTTTGATTCGATTATTTTATAGATAGGTATGAATCGATCACTTGTGTTCTATTATACCATAATGAAACATTCTGAATACTTTTTACTTGCTAAACAGCTTCATATATGCTTGCTAAGGTTGTTTTTCATTATATGTAGTGTGTAATTGACCATATTATACCTTCATTTTGATTTGGCAAATCATGCGCAAGTTATTGAACTCGAACATTTTATGACTATTGCAGTATAATGACACTTTTTGAAAGGTACCTTTCTTAGACTCTTCTGTGTTTAGACTTCGGTTTATTTGACAATTATTTTAAGCATTATTTAAGTAAGGTTATACGGTATAATAAAAATTAGACAACAGTCAAAAATATGAAACAGTTAAAAAAAATCCAACGGCGTGATTTATACTACAACAAAGACTTTCCAATGGACTTCATGTTTTGGACATGCATATAATGAGTGTGTAGGGTTTGCTGCGTTCCTCTGACTTAGGACAAGGTGTGTTAAAACTCATCATAAGACCAAACTGTTGAAATCAGTTTGAAAGGGCTTCACTTATCAGATTGGTCGCTACTAAGCATTTAACAGAGAGAAAAGACACAAGGTACCGATTTAAGATTACTCGTCTTTCCTTAAAGCTAGTTCTAATCTCAATTTCAACTAATATAAACCATGTCCCCTAAGACAAAAATGTCAATCGGTTTACTACATATTAAGACGTCATGAGCAGTATGGAAATAGCATAACCTTGTACAAAGCCAAAATGTTAAAAACGCAAAAAAGCAAATCATGAATGATTTTTCAGTGATCACTTGTTTTTCACTATGAATGGTGATTCATATTCTGTTGAGGCAAACCTCAAACATATTTCATTAATTGCACCCTTAATGTATTATGTTGCTCCCAAATCTTCTATTGAAATTATTATGTTATACAGTTATAAAGCAAAAAATGCACATTTTGCTATACGAAAATTTGCACTAATCAAATGAATATAAATTACATTTCTATATAATTGCCATATACAACGCTTCTGTACAAAATTAAAGATCATTAATACATTATTAGCCGAATTGTGACATTTATACTAATCATATGATTTTCGAGTCAACATTTGAGTTTCTGGCTATATCTTTATCAAACTTTGTTTGATGATGCCTTATAGCTTTATAATTTAGGAATCACTAAGTCAAAGATCAGGTTCACATCATCTTTTAATATACTAACAATGGGGGAAAATGATCAACTTCCTTTTTAATTTCTGGATTTGTAAGTCAAACGTTATGATCTCAGTTTTTGAAAATAGACTGAAGTTTTATGAAAACATTTTATGAGCCACATATACAATCTTTACCAAAGTATGATTCATAATGCGCAATGGAGTGAAAAGATTTCTATCGATTAAGAAGTCACTAGATTTACGGTCAAAGTCTCAGCACTAATTTAAAAACTGAAATTGAGACAATCTTTTGGTTTCCATATGACAACTTAAATTCATGTGTCAAACCTTCACCAAACATTGCATGCAAAATGACATAGGATACGCAGTTCATGTCCCACTAGTGGCGCACGTTTTGGTACTTTCTCGATCGGAAAACGTTGCCTTTTTTGACAAGAAGTGATCGGCTATGTGTAGTCATGTTTTATTTTGGATTTATAGCACAAACAATTGGTTAGGAAGTCGCATTGTTCAACTGTTTTATTAACAAAAATGTAAAAAATAATATCACAGTTACAGTACGTATATGATTAAAAAGGGGAATCATCACGTACATATGTATATCAAAATATCTGCTTCATAAGTACATTTACCCACGTAATGTTTTATAAATACAAAACATTATGTTTAAAAATCTATGCATTATAATTTCAAGCATGTCACGAATGTGTTTTTGAGATGTCAAAAATTGAAATTAAGAAACTTCTACTTTTTCAAAGAATTTTGTCTTTATGACGTCAGAAACGTTGTGTTAAAATTTTAACATTTGAAATATTTTTTAAAAGTTGCATGCAATAGAAATTGTGACTCCAATGGATGAGGTTCGTTTTTTTTTTTTTTTTTTTTTGTGATGTATAAATATACAATAAAGAGTTTTTGTTATAACCCTACAAGGCATGGGTAGGCAACATCAAACAAAGAATTTTTAAGGGTGGCCTGATAAATTTCTGTATGCTGCATTTACATATACGCATTTGCCTTGTTTAAATATGAAAAGAACAACTTATATAAATTGAATTCCTGCAAATGGAATAACACATGTACACCACAAAAAATGTTATTAACAATTCAATATTAAATCATTCCCACATAACAAGATTTAAAATTTATAATTCATAATACTAAGTTAGTATAACCAGATATAGTAAACAAGAAAATATTACAGAAATATTCAATATTACTAAATATGGAATCTTGTTTTTCAAACGTCTTATCAAAAGCAAATTCGTGTAAAATGGATGAGCATAGGATAAAACTGACCGATATGTGTTAAACAAATTTTGAAACATTATTTTAAAGTGTAAAATATCAACAACAAACCGAGCAAGACAGTGAAATTCTCAAATAAATCGTTGGCTGAAGACCGAATGGGATTCCGGCATGTTAGAAAACAGTGACGTTCTCCAATAAATTGTTTGCTAAAGACAGATTGTGATTCCAGCATGTTAGGACACAGTGACATTCTCCGACAAATCGTCTGCTGAAGACCGTTTGTGCTTCCGGCATGTCAGAACACAGTTTCATTGTCCAATTAATCATTTGCTGAAGACCGATTATGATTCCGGCATGTTAGGACACAGTGACATCCTCCGATAAATCGTTTGCTGAAGACCGATTGTGATTCAGGCTTGTTAGGAATTTCTACTGTTTCTTCAAAGGACTTTACTTACATGGTTCAATGAAGAATAAAAGGAAGCTACAATTTTTCATTTGTATGCGATGGGACTGCTTATGTTAACAGTGGAGCTATGAATCATATCAATAAAGACGCATAAAAACGTAGGTAAAATGATGCCAATGAAATGCAGTTCCAAAACATTGCAATGTGTAAATTTTGTAAAAGCTGGACAGGAAATTTCTTTTGCTCCTTAAGGGATCAGTTCAAAATGGATTTGAGTCTGTGATTTCTTTTCCAGCTATCGCTTAATATAAATCTAAATATTCAATTTCAGAAAAACATGATACCAGCTTATAATTTGATAGGACAAACTTTATACAACAAAGTAACGTGAAGTTTTACATGAATTGAGGTAGCTGGTAAACTATTAGAATTGGGAGAAATAAAACATTGTTAACACAAGTTATCTACAAATCACATTTCAAATCAATTAATTGAAAAATAAAAAAAAAGTAGAAAAATATAAAATTACAGTACCAATATAAAAAAAAGAGATCTAATAAATGACTGCCAAAAGGAGACAGTAGCTAATACCACAAAAAACATAAGTCAAGGCTATAAACAGCTCATTATCAAGTATTTCTCCTTGTATTCTTAAAAAACTCTAAAAACAAAAACAATCGGCAACCATTTCACATCTCATTATTGGAAACAATACCTAAAGGATTGAGCATTTCTGTTCCTAAAAACAAATATATCACTCTGAAAATTATGTGTACACGTACTTTGCATTCACTCTGTAAATTTTGCGTACACGTACTTTGCATTTAACGTTCATAAAAGAGGAAGAAATATACTGTTAAGTCAATATAAAGATAGAGTTATGAACTCTCTTATAATATAGAAACAAGTATCCGTTTGAAAATGTCTGACTTTCCGTGTTTATTTTGATTATGTGTTGTGATATCATTGTTAAGTGTCATCTTCTTCCTAGATTGATGGATGTACGGCAGGATTTCCAGCAGCTGTACCACAACAAACCTTACGTAATACAAAGAATGTGACAGCAGAAACCACTACAGCAGCACTTGTAACGGTCCCTGCTATAATAGCTGTATTATCGCTTGCTGAAAAAGTGAAATAACAAAAATACCGAACTCCAAGGGAAATTCAAAACGGAAAGTCCTTTATAAATTGCAAAATCAAAAGCTCAAACACATCTAACGAATGGAAAACAACAGTCATATTCCTGACTTGGTACAGGCATTTCCTTATGTAGAAAATGGTGGATTAAACCTGGTTTTATAGCTCGCTAAACCTCTCCCTGGTATGAAAGTCGCATTGAATTCTATTATATTGATAATAACATGTGAGCAAAAGAACGACACAATTAAGAAATGTTTTGATTAAAGAATTATAAAATCAATTCCACTGTTTGACATTTTTTTCATTTTCGATAACAGTTTTTTTTTCTCCATCCACACAAAAGGCGCTAAATTTAATTCGAAGAATATCCAATTAAATTAGTCTGCTGGTGCCTTGCAAAAAATATTGAGAATAGAAAAAAGACTATTTAGATTTATTTTTGTTCCGGTCCCAAGCACAGTCCGTATTAAATTTGTTTTTTACATAATTTTGAAAAGAGGATTTTTTTCTAAGAGTTATAAATTCATTAACTATCATCAGTAAGCTTAAGCTTCCGGTTAAAAGGGGGTTATTCAAGTATTTATACATCTTTGGCTTTCAACATTTTAGGATTGAGTATCGTTTCATAATAATTTATATATGAAAATTATGACAGGAATTTTAAAAAATATTTGACATTCTTTTATAATGTGCAGCGTTAGCTTTGTAAACAACATCGTGATAAAATTCTGGATATATACATTGTTGTGTGTTTATACGTAGCGCAGACTCACAGATTTACATATTCATGGCTGTTACACTTAACCCCCATCGTAAATTCACATACTACTAGTATCGTAACCTATGTACAAACACGATGTCTTTTTTGCCATGTATCGTTACATACGTACACACACTATGTGGATTTCGCTATGTACAAACACGATTTCGATTTTGCCATATATCGTACATTTTTGTAACTTATGTACAAATACTATGTCCATTTTGCTGTGTGAAAATGTAAATGAAAAAAAAAAAAAAAACAGAACTTTTTTTCATATTTTATGAATACGGAATTAATAAATTAAGGCTTAGACAAATGTATAAAATTGAAATAAACTAAAATACCGCCAAATTTCATGAGTGATCTTGGCATATTAATTTTCAAAAATATCATCGATCAGAAACCTTTTGATTAAAATAGACGTAGAAAAGAAAATAAACAAGCCCTACATTCTGTCGATACCTATATTTTGGCAAAACTGTCAAAGTCAATGGTAGTTTCCCTAATAATGACCTGGTAACAAACGTAACATGTCAAATATGTAAAAGTTTGGATCATGACCAACTACAAAACCAAAAAAAAAAAAAATAAAGTGTCATAAGTGGTTTCCCATAAACCAACATATTCATGATGGTGGCAATCATACCACATCTCCTCATTTTTATAATACTAACAGACTTTAACAAATTGTTGACGCCATTGTCGACAACGAAAACAGCACGTCTAAGTAAAGCTTCCACGATGTTATCACAAGCGGGGGAAATTAACCGTTATTTTGCTGTTGTAGATGTAAATTTTGATATTTTCAGAAAAAAAAACATATTTATTATTATAACTTTTTTTAACTTCAGTACACCGATCTGTACATAGTGTACTCACCAGATCTTGATCCGACATTGCTAGTGCTATTGGTAGTATTCATAGTGTTTGTTTCTGTTGCAATAAAAATGTACTATATCAATTTTTGTATATGATAAAGGAATGTAATCCATATGTAGTAAATATGTATTTAAGGATATTTTTGGGTACATATGTCAATAAAAAATTATAACATAAATACCGAACTCCAAGGTAAATTCAAAAAGGGGAAGTCCATAAAAACTGACAGAAACCAACAGACCAAGTAAAAAAACAACTGCCGTATTCCTGATATGGTACAAGCATTTTCCCCAAATAAATGGTGGGTTAAACCTGTTTTTGTAGCTAGCTAAACCTCCCTCTCGTAAGACAGTTGTTTAGTTCTGTTATATTGTCAAAATTTAGTGGGCAACCCAAACAGACCTGATAACGGGTTTAGGTGACAATAATTTAGACCCAGCCGCCAAAATTGTGTAAACATGCACCACAGACATACAACAAAACTAACCAAAATAATCAAACATACATACAAATTAATCTAACAAAGACGCCACCAAACAAGGGTGTAGCAGATAGTAAATTTGACAATGACATCAACAAAAAAGTGTTTGTCGTTGATAGTATATACCGTACCAGGAATGCCCAAAGTTAAAAATGAGACAGACAGCGATAAAAAAAATATATATATATCGACAGAACTATTAACTCTGTTTTCATTCACAAGTAATACAAAAAATATATCGATAAAACTTATAACCCCGTTTGCATACACAAAATACATCGATAGAACTAATAACTCTGATTTCATACACAAGTAGTACGTCGATAGAACTAATAACTCTGTTTTCATACACAAGTAATACACACACTCATATAGCTTTAATTTTAGACTATATTATCTTAAATTATGTGAAGAGTTTTACTCCAAAATTTAAAGAACTTTTTTTTGTTACTTAAACAACCAGACAACAACTGAATCTTGCATTTGATCAATGCGAATCCGTGATTCATGTGCGATTTTATCATTGGTCTATTTATTTGGAAATTTAAAAATTCATTGTTATTCATAGATAAGAAATCTTAGATTAGAACAAGAAAAAAATTCTTAAATGCTTAACAGCAACACACGATTCATTTATTTAACTATCTCTGTCGGTACCTCTCATAGTGAGCTGTGAGTACCCGAGGGTTTATTAGACTATAGACTCATTATCGAGTCACCGACAGTGGCATGACTCAAATGATACATTTAAACGGAAAATGATCAGTTCATTAATGATATAATTGTACTAAAAACTAACGTTACAAGTCTGATAGGCAGAATGTGCGTTCGACGGTTATTTACATTAATTTTGGTCACTGTGTATGCCCGTACAATATTACTCATTTGGCTTGTAAAAATGTTGGTGCCAAACATACGTGTTGTGGTTATTCTTAAGTCGCTTGTTGGTATGCTAATCAAATTATGATACAAACTTCACTACTTACCCGGAGTAACGGGTGTAACTGGTGAAGTAAAAGGAGTATCTTGTGGCTCTACAATATTTGGGGATGTAATTTTGGTGTTAGAAGTAGTTTTTGTTATTGCTATGGCGTCTGTAGTTGTTTTTGTTGTTGGTATTTCAGCAGTAGTTGTTGCTTCTGTTGTTATGGTGTCAGTAGTTATTTTTGGTGTTGTTACAGCGTCAGTAGTTGGTTCTGTTGTTACGACGTCACTTTCTTGTGCTGTAAAAATAATAACAAAAGATTGAATGATTGATGATTGCTTAACACATATAATAATACGTAATAACAAGTGAACCGACATTTACAAATATAGATTTTGATATTCTGCAAAAAGTTTGTTTATATGAGTTAGACGATAGAAGATTATAAAGTATTTATACTAAACTACTATGCAATACATTTGTTAAAAACTTTTCGTTCAAGCAAATATAACCATCTTAAACGATAGTCATTTTTACTTATACGAGTCATCTTTAGTGCTCCACACAAAATTTAAATTCATAGTCTGGGTTTTCCATGTGAAAATTGCGATCTATGACAACATTATTTTCTGATAATTTTGTATTAATAATCGGAGAATGAACTGCATGACGAGAAGGTGGGGGTATAGTAGATCTTAATCAGAAACCCCCTCCAGCCCCATCGCCTCGACATTTTTATGCGCTGTAAGCAGTTATATATAATGTAAGCATTCCAACAAATTCCTAAAGAATATTTTCTTCATTTTCAACGATTTGTTTTCTTTATATTTGACCTTATGTGGTTTTTCAAAGTTTTTTTTAATGTATATATAATATATATCTACAATCGTCTAAATAACAGCCCAACAAAGTTAGATCTGTAAATTTGCGTTCACTTAGCAATTTTTTTGTTCTTCCCTGGCCGGGATTCGAACTCATGCTACTGAGATATCGTGGCACCAAATCGCCTTGCACTGTGTCCGACGCGCTAGACCACTCGACCGCCTAGACTCTACAATAATAAAGTTTTCGGTGGCCAGGTGTTACCTTTCCTGGTTAGTTTAAATCTAGCGTCGTAACACAGTACATGATATATAAGGCATGAAGATGGAATTGTTACAGATCAGCTGAATTATCTATTGTAAAGGATCCTACAAATTAATGTAAAATGCAGTCACAGATATAATTTTATTATAAGTACGTCTGAACCAGTGACGACTCTACAACAGATTTTATCCATCGGATCGCCAGTGATGGTGATACAAGGCTGAAAACACATTCTGTATATATAATTCGTCTAAAAAAACAGCCCAACAATTTAGATCTGAAAATTGCGTTAGCAAATTTTTTTGTTCTTCCCTGGCCGGGATTCGAACTCATGCTACTGAGATATCGTGGCACCAAATCGCCTTGCACTGTATATAGATCTACATATATAGCACATATAGCTATTAATATATATTTCTAAATAAATGTGAGTAAAAAGTAGTGTTTGTAAAGTTCAAGAAAATTAAAGTTATATCACATATTAGCATCGAATAGCATGCTGGTCGGAGCATGAACTGCTGATGATTTTGAATCAAGTTATACTCACCTGGCCATGGGTCTGTTGTAGTTCCGTAAAATGTAAGGGACAAGGTGTCTAAGGCTACTGGAAATATAAAGTTTGTCCAATAAGATATATATATATATAGTTCTAAGTACATGTGTAATCCATATATAAATTAAGTCATATGAAAAAAATAAACATTACCAAATAAATTAATATTACATATATTAAAGAGAGTATGTTGAAAGTCAAAATGTCCTAAAAGAGCATCCAGAAAAAACTAAAATGAACTTTTTCCACAGGGGCTGCAACATAATCTTGAGGATATTTACATAATGTAATGAATAAAAAAATTATCTAGGCTAAGGTATCATTCGAATCATGCCAACACAAAAGCACTGGTGTCTGAACGGATGGTACCCCCGGGAACCTAAAGTGCTCTAGCATGTCCATTCATGTATCAACCCATTTAAAGCTATATTATGGGGTATATAGAAAGTGCATTAGTAGCAGAAATTAACAACTAAAGTCAAATGTTTAAAAAATCAAGGACAAAGAGGAAGCGAGACGCACAAAACACTCACACACACAAACGTATATCAATCTCACTAGCATGATCACATAAACGCTCGATGTTTTGTTCGAAAGCCATTGATGAGTCTTATATAGACGAAACGCGTCTGGTATCTGGTGTGTGTTTACAGTCACTGGGTCGATGCCACTTTTGGTGGACGTTTCGTCCCCGAGGGTAGTACCAGTCCAGCAGTCAGAACTAGTTTGTTGAGATACAATATTGTTTATATGTTTATTTTCTGTAGATATACTGTTTATAAAATATGAATTATTCCAAAATCACGTTTTTTTAAGACAAAAGTAGTTTGCGATGACAAGTTCAAATCAACACACTTGGCACAAACTTGAGTGCGTTATAATTGAGGTCAGTTACAGTTGGAGTATAATTATGTGGATCGTTTTTCTTTGTGATCAGAATCCGTATTTGGAATTAACTGCAATATAGTTCTTTTAACAGTTACAAACGCGTTCTGTTGTGTGTTGCGATTCCTCCTTAATTGCATGGTGACAGGAGATGTGTAGACATGTCGTCGTCAATTAACTGCACTGGTTGAACCATTATGTAAAAATGGTTGACTGAATTGGAAATATCGGCGAATATAAACAAAGATAACTTTGTGTGTAAAACTATAATTGAGAATCAACCAAAACTGAAACGTCATGGCAAGATCATAACAGATACGTATACTATATGTATTATAATTAAAATAACAACTTTTAATGTTAAAATAACAACTTTTAATGTTAAAATAACAACTTTTAATGTTAAAGTAACAACTTTTAATGTTAAAATAACAACTTTTAATGTTTGAATCAGTGTTAACATTGAATGGATTGAAAATATATTATTGATATTGAATAAAATACATCACAGGCAATTTTTGGAGTTGACTACATGTATTTTCATCTACTAAGAAGATACTGTTTTTCACAATAAATATCTGATTTAAATAATATACTGTTCGTATTTTTTGTTTAAACATGTAATCAAAAAGACAGGAGCTAAAGGAATAAATGTTTCACAGTGTATAACCAAATTTGTGGCAATATGTCAAGAATGATTAATTATTGTGATCCGTCAAAATGCGCAATTCAAACTTCAAGAAAAGAAAAATATCATAGTGTTATTAAATGGGTGTTTGCATATAAATCCTGTATTATGTTCAAGTACAGTCGTATTGGGTCGAGGTTAGCTGTATTGGCTCGAGCCGTAGCCGAGTGCCAATACAGCTGATCGAGACCAAATAGGAAATTCACAAGAAACCAAGAAGATATGACGTCATAATTAAATTTCCACAGATCATTTGCCGAGAACAGTTGTTTCACAGTGAGGAGAACAACTTTTTTCACAATCGGTTGGGAAAAACCGATAATGTGAATTACTTTTATCCACCGGTAAATAAACCTTTGAGTCTCTTGATTTTTCTACGAGTTATCTTCCATCAAAATGACGTCACTGAAGTATGTAAAAATGGCAACGGCCAGCTTAGAAGTCCGTTGACTGGAGTGACGAAGAAACATTAAAATCCATTTGGTGCCGAGGATAGCTTCCATAAACGGCCTTTAACAGGGACACCAATATTTTACAGAAAGAGTCTTCATTTGTTGTACCTTTGAAGCATTTCAAGTCACAAAAATAATTCTTTGACGTAAGTGTTTTGACAATTTGTTACTACAGTAAGAAATGTTCGACATGTGCAAGAGCTTCTTTAACGTGTATTTTTTATGGTTCGAAGGGCCCTATGGTATAATGTAACAAATGTGGCTCATTCGATGCGGTGCATATCCAAAATTGTCAACCCTACAAATTTATCTCACTTCGAACTGCGCCCTCAGAGAAATAATCCTTTACGATATTAACCCTGTCTACGGTCCATTATTGTATATACTCAAAAAATGAAATAGCATAAAATATAAAAAATAACAAAAACATCAAACTTGTTGAAATTTTATATTTCGCTTCATACACATATCTATTTTCTGACACCTTTTTGAACCAAAAACCGGATGTTAAAATCCTGGATTTAGACCAAAAAAAATAATTAATTTTGCTATACAAAAGTGTCAACTCGGCCAATATTGATTTTTTTCGTATTGGCCGAGTTCTGATCCGGCCAATACATGATTTTAGAACGTCTCGAATTTTGAGGTCGAAAGTCTCGATGAAATTATATAAAATATTTTATTCACACACCATAAGCATGCCAAAATGTTCAGTGTGGCAGATATTTCAGGCTGAAGACGGTCACGTTCATTTAAAAAGCCTTTTGTAAGCAGAAAAAACATTTAATCAATTTAATGGATACACATCGATTTACTTATTACTTTCACTTCTCATCTTTTTTGTTAGGTGCCATTTATGTTTCAACTCGAACCAGGCATATGAATTGTTGAAGGCTGACCTGTAAATGTTCAAGTCTTTGTTCTTTGGTCAATTGGTCTATGAATAGTTGTCTCATTGTCAATAATGATTAACTCTTAGTTTTATTTAATCCTTTTGTTTCTGCATCTCTCATGCAATGGCAGTACCTTTCCAATTACTATTTATGTGTTGCGTCTAAATATGTAATATGTAACACTTTATAGTGACTGAAAAGGGAGAACAAATCATAAAAATGTAGACCACCTCGAAACAGCAACATATCATTTGACATTGCGAATTATAAAAGGAAACTCAAATTTAGATACTAGTAGTTCCATTTCAAGGTAAAAAATGTTAAAAAAAACTCTTGTGAAATGACGTTAAACACAAAAAAACAGGTGAACACTGTAGTTAACTAATACAGATATCATTACGTGACTATTTTCATATGGCCTTGTTATTGGTCCTCGGCAAGCTGCATTGGCCTTCGGCTTCGCCTGAGGCCAATAGAGTAAGCCTCGGGCCAATAACAATGCCAAATACAATACAGAAATAATCACGTAATAATATCATAGTATTAACCGGCTTTTCTGTATTAGACTTGTAATGAGGACCAGTTCTCAGACACATGAAATTGTATTAAATAGACAATTTATAATGCATTTTAATTCATTGCTTAATAAAAACCAATACTAGTATACGATAAAATCAAATTCAAAGCTATTTCCAGAATACTTGAACGGGTTGTGAGCATAAATGATTCAACATGTAGTATAATGAATTATGAATGCAATTAGGAGATAACTGTCTTGTATTTCAAACTTGGCCTTCATAAAACGTAGATTTCAATGTCGCAAATTACGCGTCGCTAGTTAAACGGATATTTGCGACAGTAAAATCAAGTTTTACGAGGGCCAAGCTTAAAATACAATACAGTTATCTCCATTCTTATGCCACATATTAAAATACATTCCATTTTAGTAAATAGTATGGCTTTAAAATGCCATAAATGCAAAGGTCCACGAAACTGTTACATCGTCTTTGACATCTAAACAATTTTACGTCATAAGTATACTCCCGATGTCAAACATAAGCACTAGCCGTATCATGTAATTTTCGTACGCTTCTGAATGGTTACATATTGACAAAAAGAAGATTTTGAGGAACAAAATGTGACTTTTAATTTTTTTTTTTTTTTTGAAATTGCATACCATAAAATTCGGAACTCAAAATGGTGGCTTTACTTAGTTAAGGACTGGTATAACGTGTAATCTAACCCTTCAAAATATTTGTCAACGACCAATGAACTCATCGTTTCAAACGAATTGCATTAGAATCAAGTATATCCATGTTTCAATTTTCTTGGAATTTTGGTTTTGTTAGACAAGACATAGATTAATAGTCTAACTAGTGAAATTGTTGGCAACTTGTTATATTTAAGGTGTGTGACGGTTCAAAAAATATTTCAAAACACTATTGACAGTTGACCTTCCTGGTCTTTCAATGTCACAAAGAATTAACCTGTATCTAATCTCCTTTCTATGGTCTTTCGTTACAATTAAACGGTAAACTCAATTTAAAATACGCTTCCAAATGCGCACCTGTTGTAGTAAAATCGTTACCATTGATGTATTACCGAAAACAAAGTTTTCAATAAAATCATCCCAAACACAACTCCTCCTGAATATACTTGTCTGTCTACTACCCCCTCCCCCAATTCATAATTGCTTATTTTGTACAGCTGTCAATTGAACGTTTTACAGTATGAGACATATTTTTCTTACTCTTGAGTAGGGGACAAATTCCAACGAATCTTCTGCTATACTGCCTTTGCATCCACATGACTTATATCTGGTAAATGAAACATGCCCTTTCAAGGCAATATATTTGACGCTTTAAGATTAATACAATTGTTCAACTTGATTAAAAAATCAAACAATGATAAACTAAAATCGTTTGTCTGGAACATAAAACTAGAAATTTGAAATTATTTAATGTAAGTTTCTTAAAATGTTTAAGCAGGATAAGCCTTTCACTTTATCTACAAAGACTTTTTATGGTTTTTAATACTCTTCAATTTCGTATTTGATATGACCTTCCAACTGTTTTGTTTCGACCGGCGTTGACGAGTCTTATGTAGACAAAACGTGCATCTGGCGGTCCATGTTTAATCCTGTTTATTTGTATGAAAATGTTTTATTACGCTTTGTCATTAAAACTACATAAGTTAAAATTGTATTGTATTACCAGTTACAGTAGTTAGATTCGGACTTATTTCCAGGGACCAGGTTCCAATGAGATTTTCCTTCCAAAAATGAACTGACATAAAATCCCAGGTTAGACTCCCTGCTGCTCCATTATCTATAGCGTCCTGATGTCTGTAGTGTAAGAGATGACTTCTTGTACCAGACGGTGATACCAAATACAACTGAGTAACCCCTCTTAAGCTTGAGTAGGAGAATGTTATATGTGCAACCACGTGTTCAAGGTATTTTATAGATGGGCAGTCACCAGAGGTTACAGTAATGAAATAAATGATTGGGACAGTAAATCCACTGAAAGATAATCAAGATCTATTGTTTTAATCTCAGAGCTAATATGAAAACCTTGTCGTCTGCATAATTTGCAATAATGATAAAGGTTTGCATAATTTGCAATAATGATAAAGGTTTGCATAATTTGCAATAATGATAAAGGTTTACATAATTTGCAATAATGATAAAGGCTTGACTTAAAACGTAAATAGTTAAACAATTGATCAATTTGCATTTAATGCCTGTATGCTATGTATTTTTTTTTTGTGCTGAGTGTTCTTGCGTTTGTTTGTACTGTATTCCGGTAGCGGTTGATGCATGCATAGGAGGAGACGCTTCCTTATCAACGCACATGATCTCGCTCTATTTGGAGTAAATGCAAATCCCTCTTTTTTGCTTGGTACCTTGTTTTGTCTTTTCTTAATCAATTTACGATATTTTTTAAGTTGGTAAACTACTGATGCATTAATCTAAAGAAAGAAAAAAATGAAAACAACACGTTTCAAAGTTCATGCGTTCGAAGCGCTTTTCTGGATTTACCTTCATCAGGAACGCTCAAAGCCGAATATTTGAAAGACAAGGATGAACAAAACCGAAACAGTTGAAGAGCTATATAAAGAAATTGCATCTGGTTTATCGTTATAACACTGTGTTTATTGGGCAGTTGAAGAATTTCGCTGGTCACATCAGCCGTCTTCATAATTATCATAATATTTTACTCCTAAGGCTTTGATTTGCATTTGTTTGTGAAAGCAACTTAAAATTTCCGTATTTTGATTCTGTACAATTACGAAATGTTCATTCAACATAAAGTTTGATTCTTGAATAAACAAGACTATGTGTCCATACGATACTGTACCCCGCTCGAATGTTCCTGTGTCCATGTTCATTAACAGCGAATCATGAAATCGGGGAATATTTTAATGGTACATTTCACGGTTATTATGTGTAAAAAGTTTCAAGCTGATGTGACCAACACTTCATGGTAAACTACCTTAACCATAACCTTTAACCTGAGAGTGTACTTGGAATACAATTATTGCATTTCTCTGTTCAGGGAATCATGTATTAGGGATGAAACCCATTTTTTTTCGCAAATAATTCGCAAATGTCACAGAATGAAACAGGTGTTCTTAGTTTCAAGTTGATGTGACGACACTTGTATGGTAAAAACTACCATTCAAAATCTCTAACCTCATACTGGACGGAATAATGGACGTACGTACGCCTATCGTAGGCGGGGCATTGAAATATACAGAACGATTGTACAAATATTCATTTGTCCTTTGATGACTCTAAATGATTATAAAAAAGACTAACATTATTATATGAATCGACCACTTCCACATTTCATTGCGTTTCGTTAGAAAATCTTTAAAATAGACCAACCACAAAAAAGTTGGTCAAACTTGCGTCCTAGTTTTTACTTGTTTACAAATGGAGACGATCGACCTTTTCTTTGTGTGTAGCTAGATATCGTCATACAGATTGAGGTTTACGTTTACATACAGTGGTTATTCATACGTTTGAAAAAGCGAAGACGAATTTCAAATTAATTAGATAGTAGCCAAAAAGTCTAAGAAATACATCGACGTACGTTTAGTTGAGATTTTGATATGTTTGTTTTATAAATTAATTGGAGTATGATCATTGCGGATCCTTAATTCAGGTGACTGTATAGTCAATCGATACTTATTTTCTGACGAAATAACATCAACGACAATTCTATGTAAGTTTCAGCTATTCAATATCCAACATGACAAATTCCAAATCGTGCAAATTTTAAAGTCGACTTATATTTTTCTCTGTTTGATTTTTTTTTATTCCAAAAATGTATCTTAAAAAAAGGTTTAAATATCCCTCTTGTATTTTCGCCTCTCTTTTGCAAAGATATTAGCTATCTCTCTGCAACTATTTTCACTAGGCGGCTCGAAATTAGGAATTTTAGGAAATTTGCAGACTTTATAGGATATTTATTATCAAAGTATTGCACTTAATATTCTCAAACTTTCAAATTAGATGAAAGTAATAAGCTGTTTTTATTTCCATCAAATTAAATCCGTATAAATGTTGTCCAAGTAGTTTTTATTTCTGTTTTTGAATATTTGTCGCCAGCTGTAAATGTGAGATGTCATTGCCCGCCCGAGTCTTGATTCGTGTCTGTTTTATATAAAAACACGACTAAACCTACGTCGATGTATTTCTTAGACTTTTTGGATACTATCTAATTAATTTGAAATCATTGTCTGGACAACAGATAAGTATATTTGTTATTTGAAAATTAATTTGTTTACATTCATTTGGCTTCAATGACAGCATGTGCGAGTTTGCCTGGTCTACTTTTTAATCATACAAATTTCGGAATAACGAAATAATGCATTTCCGGTACAACTTACCACCTACAAATGCACAAATGGTCTATTATCCAACATTTAAGCAGTGGAAATATAAACATTCTATTACAGTTATAGTTTTGTCATGGTTTTGATACATACTTCTAAATATGACATTAAAACCATATGTCTGGATATGCGATGAGGGTTTATGCGATTTCGATAATAATCACTTCAATTTTTTCTATCTGGACTTTTGAGATATGAAACATCGGTGTATACTCATTTTAAAAAGCATACAGACCTTTTATATCATTCTTTTTACCCATTTATCATTATAATATAAGATAAATACTTACAAGGAAATAGAAATTGTAGATGTGGTGCACGTTTGTTGTGTTGGAACTGTTACCCAGATTTTACCATTGCTCACCATAGCATCAGCGTCCATTAAACCAAAACCAAGAATCTGACTGACTAAACATACAAAATATAATGATATCAGTATTTATCATTCAACTTTCCACCTTTTTCAGAATCAAATTGAAATTACCGATATAGATAATTTAAAGTTGGCATGCCTGTAATAAATTAATGTTCCGTTGTTCTCGAACTGATCCTGTGTGCGGCAAATTTCAAACAGGTGTTTCTGAAGAATAATATCTATTACTTTTTGCAATTAAAAAGATGTCCTCTTATTCCATTATAATATATATTATACCTTGTTATGCCCGAAAGAATCTTTGCATCTAATTTGAGTTTTCACATGATTTTTTTCTGCGCAACACCATAACTGACCTTGGAATTTCTAACCCTTCCAGAGCATATGAAGCTTACCCATTGTTATCATGGTGTGTTTCGTGTTGCTTAATATTTAGGTATCTGTGTTTTTGTTTTCTTTTTCCTTTCACCTGATGTTTCACCAGTTTTTTGTGTTGAACAATCTATAGAGATATATTTTTTTTTACTTTTGTATTGTAGACCGTTGTTTGTTTTTTATTTTTTTCTGTTTACAATAGAGTTTTTCGTGTCCTTCTTTTACTTTTAAATTTGTATTGCCTTCAGTATGTACTTAATTATTTTGTTAAACGTGATAAATATATATTCTTACATTGGTACTAGTGGATTATTGGATTTTGATTTGATAATTTAACTATCGAGATTAGATAAATCCTACGTAGCAGTTATGATATTGAACGCTCCCCTGATTCATCTAGTGAGCTGGGGTGCGTTCAGTGTCATAGCTGCTACCTACGGCTGCGTAGATTTCGACTACTGAACGTATAGCTAGCCTAGTCGCTAAATAGATCTAGATTACCTAAAAAAATCATGCTATCTAGAAAATCCAAAATGGCGTCGGATAGGTTAATATTAATGACGTCAATTTGATTCAATATTTATATACAATGGGTCATGAAAGGGTAAAACTGCTATAGAATAAGAAAAATAATGATACAGGGTCTACGTCGTTATAAAATCAAACCAAAGTTTAAAAAAAGATTTGTAGAGGTCAATATAACAATCGACAAATGTTTACAAAATGAACCCGAAAATCGCCCGATTTTTAAAAAGCTGTAAATAAATTCAACAAACACCATCTAAGATTCGCCATTAACACACACGGAGTATGCTTGATGTTGTAAAGTACTATGATTGTACCTATTGCGATTTATCTGAAATCCTAAAGAGGTCAATCCGTTATAATGTGTCTGATACTAATAATTGAGTTTCAATCAATTATACATCAGAACATATATTTTCAGATGAAGACAAACATTGTTTGATTTACCAACCAACAATAACGTGTTTAGGATAGTGCTGATAGCATAAGTGGTAATACTAAATTCAGAATCAAAAACGTGGTCATCTAGATCTGGTCTTGATTGCGCAGTTTTACTCGCGTATATCATCCAAGATCCGTTTTTTTATATCCTAATACTCAAAAACTTACATTCTTTATTTGCCCCGTTAATTGACCAATCAGAGTAGTAGGTGTCATTCAAACTAGTCCTGTTTGATGTAAAAACAATCAGATGTTGGATGTCTCTCCAAGTTAGATCGGAACTATAATGGGGAATAAATTGGAAGAGTCAATACAATATATCAATCAAAAGAAATAAACTCTAAACATGCTATGTATTCTCTTCTAAGTACAAAATTGTATATGATATATATAACCGAGAATCTATCATAACATTATCAAAAAGTCACCTTAAAGGTTTTTGAAAAAAGATAGATAATCAACAATGAAAAAATCTCATTCAAGATTAAAGGTTTGTAATTTTGTACGCATGACGCACAATTCGTCTACAAAAGACCCACCAGGGACGAACGAAAAACGAGTTGAAAAGCCAAATAAATTACGAAACTAAAGAGCATAATTTGCCAATTACAGCTAAGGTAATCTATTCCTGGAGTAGAAAATCCGTGGTATTTGAAACAAATGTGCATACCTGTTTATAAAAACAATATGTCCGTACATGAAAATAATTCTCAATAATATTGAACGAACGCAATAAAATAAGTTAACAACTTTTCATCTTGTCTGTCTATTTTATTTCAAAATTCAATCAAGTAATTTGACAAGAAATATACGTCAATTGATAAACTAATGCATGTAAAATCTTTCTTACGACCAAACAACTACCGCAACGTGTAGTATGCGTAAAATTTTGTTTTTTACTACTTCATGTAATGTTATCGAGGTCGCTTGTATTTGATATTCCTGCTGATGAAGTCTGTGTTAAAAAATGCCGTTATGCTATATTTATCCTTCTGATAACTCAGACTGATTACCTCATATCGATGGCTTCTACATGAGTGGAAGGAGGGATTATTACCCAAACTAATTACCTAATTTCAATTGCATCTAGATGAGTGGATAGGGACAGCTGGATACAATTTGATAGTGTATATGAATAAATGGAGATGTGAAAGTATGTCAATGAGATAGCAACTAAAAAAAAAAAATTGCTACGCCGTAGCGAAATGTCCACCGACGATATGCACTGTTGACTACATTCAAAAGGTGCGAATATGCTAAGAGTAGTAAAAGTTCACTTACTTCAGCAGAAAATGCTAATTCAGTTACTAGTTAACTATTCATGATGTTGAACAATCCTACTTAGCATAAATGCTTTTGGGCAAACAATTCTGAGAAATTGCGTTCACAAGATTATAGTAAAAATTTATCGAAGTTCATTTACTTTGTAAGAATGAGATACATTCAAATTGGTTTAACGAATATGATGACAAACATTTCTACCAAGTGGGTCAATGTTCGCAATTGTTTCTCCATAGGTGGTAATGGTAACGTTTTTGTCTGTTGCTCAGTCCATATCGTTTACTTGGATATGTATGATGGCTCGTTTCGAAGCTTAGACATTTTCACATATGTGGTTAAATTTTCGGGGTACGAAGTGCGATTACTTTTTCCGTACATTAGCAAATCCCGAAAATCCTTTCGTGATGCGGCTCCTCGTGGTAAAAAATCCCTTTTTTAACACAATAAGTTCTTTGAAATTTTAATACTTTGAACACATATAATTGCTCCATAGTTTTTACACATTTATTCTATGTTTCATCCCCTACTTTCTAAATCAACACAAATGGTTAAGCTCAGTCACTTGTTTATCATAGAAACGTGTCAAATATCACTACACAGAGATTTTTTTGTTTACACACAACTTTTGAGTTCCTCATTTTGAGGCGCATTAGGGATATTGACCCAAGTATGAAAGCTATCTGTGAACGCGGATTGGACGAAGAATATTATTATGTCCAAATGATGCGCGCGCGGCGGGGGGCGAAATACCAAAAAAAATCTGGAGATCGTCATACAGGCCTCAACAATGGACAGATGTCTATAAAATTTCCTAACCTCTAAATTGCCTCGAGCCTAGGAAAAAAAACTCATCAAAGATATCAGGCTTTTTGTACGCCCGAAGAGAGTTTCGTATAAACAATACTTATTAGTGACGTTCGAATCAAATAGTTAAAAGACCAAATTAAGTAAGAAGTTGAAAAACATTGAAGACAAAAATTCCCAAAAGTTTTTCCAAATGCATCTCATGAGATTAACGATACCAATTGTACTGCACCAGATGTGCACTTATCGCTCAGATTATCTTTGGCTGGGGTAAGAAAATCCTAAGTATTTCGAACAATTCAAAGTCTTGTGAACAGTATAAATTTATAAAACATACCGTATCAATGATATTTTATGCCAACACATTAGTGCTGTAAAGAAGTGAAAACATTTACCACAAGGTATCACACATTTGTCATCAACACCAAATTCCCCCAAAATAATAAAAAGACAACAAATTAAGAAGTTACATATTTCGGACAATCACATGAACGTGTCGTGGGGTAAGTTGTGGTATATCCTTCTAGTTACTAGGCTATAAACTAATGATGCTCAATCATATAATTAATAACAAAATCTAAAGTACAAACACACCAATGATGAATAGTATTATATTGTATCAAATTATGCTTGCAGTTACAAAAACAAGCACAAAATTCTTAATCTGCAATATTAAATCAAGCCTCCCTACACTTTAAGGTGGCTCGGCCCTTTAACAGTGCGCAGTTTTTAACGCATGTTTCTAACGACGAGCGCCTTAGAAATAAATTCCTCATAATTAATTTTTTTACTTAATATGTGAAATATTTTTCTCACTGCAAAATTTTGGTAATAGTTAAGTATTTTTTATTTTCCAAAAACAGTTTTGAATATAACAATGTTCAAGAAAAGACTAAATACTTGACAGTCACATCTAACATTTTAATTTACAGATTTATATAATTTATCAAATCATGGCCACGAAAAAGCACTTTAAAACAACCACTGTTCGCTAACTGTAATTTTTTTTTCTTGCATTTGTTAGCGTAAAGAGGATATCTAACAAATTCTCTCATATCATAATTCCATGATTTCCGGAACTTTAGTCCTGATAACATAAGACCTCGGGGCTAATGTTTTCTATTTATGATATTTTCTTTTACTTGTTTTGCTATTTGTTATTTTGTTATTTTGCTATTTTGTTATTTTGTATTTTCTGTTTTATCTTTCAATGTGACAACCGAGTTCGCATTAAAAAAAGAGGAAATATCAGCGTAAAAACGTTAATAATAAGAATGTATTATCATAATAGACTACCGGAACTCGAGCAACACATTTCACTAAATTGATTATTTGTTTTACACAGAAAAAACCGGACACTACAAAAAATTGCTGTTTTCCACCTTTGATCATAGATGAAAATTGGCCAATAGTAACCTGGACCTATTATTCCGATCGAAAATCGGTCTATGCTATTACCCCTCAATGCCGCATGCTTTGCGGAGAAGCGCAAAATCTTTGGTTTGACCAAGTCGGAATTTAGCCTAGGCCCCCGCAGTCTACCGGGCAGTTTCAAACACTTCCAGCTAAAGGCTTTTTATAGAAACAACATTCATACTACTTACTTGGTTCAGGAAAAGTTGGGATTGGAATTTTAAAACTCCGCCCAGTACACAGGGACGCTATATTAGTCGATGATATAGGCAAACTTTAACTTCTGTCTTACTTTTTGACATGCGTTTTTGAAAAGAGAAGCTCATAAGGAAAGTTCTTGATTTCAAAAAATGAAAGTGGAGCAAATCATTGCGGCAAAGAATATGAATGGCAATTTTCTTAATGATGTGTGAAGACTGGTTTGACCCACCTGCTGCAAAGTAACGTAATTATCGGTCTATGATGATAATAAAGAGATGACAATTTTTAAACTGGACTCGTAGGATTAACATGGGTATAGTCATATGACTTCCCTAATCCGACAGATAAACCATTGCTTAGACAGGGTGTTCATACAGCTGGATGTATAAATACGCAGCCTCGTAGGGTAAAAAGGGGGAATTTTGCCCATACCCAACATACATTGTACATTCATTTACCAGTGATTGTTGAAGGCCGTACGGTGACCTATTGTTGTTAACTTCTATGCAATTTTGGTCTCTGGTGGAGAGTTGTCTCATTGGCAATTATACCACATCTTCCTATTTTTTTATATTTCACACATCTCACCGACCTTTGTAAATGAAAATTTACTTTGATAAAGTTTGCCAAAGACAAAATATTAATTTCATGGTGAAAAGTTTTATTTGGGGGTCACCTTAGACCTTGAATATTGCAGTTGTAATCTCTGTAAGACCAACTTCATGTACCAAATTTGAAAATGGTGATTAGATAGATTTGTTGGGGTTGCAACAATATTGATTTCAACCATGATAGCTGTGTTTTGTGAAATCAATTTCACAACACCAAATATGGAAATAAGTTTATTAAATTTATAATGCTTACAAGCAAACGGTGTGAACTATTAGGACTTGTTTCAATACAAACAAGAAGTATCAGGATAGATCACATATTTTTTCAAGTTGTTACCACATACTCCTAGATACATCTACATGTATGGTAGTCACAGTTTTCACCACATTTTTTGTGTTGACAAGAGTGCACAAGCTGAAAAAAGAGGGACGAAAGATACCAGAGGCACAGTCAAACTCATAGATCGAAAACAAACTGACAACGTCATGGTCAAAAATAAAAAGACAAACAGACAAATAATAGAACAGATGACACAACATAGAAAACTAAAGACTAAGCAACACGAACCCCACCAAAAACTGGGGGTGATCTCAGGTGCTCCGGAAGGGTAAGCAGATCCTGCTGAAATGTCTCACCTGCTTTAGTATTGTCATCATTCATGATTGATTTTATGTTAATATTTCTAAAGATAAAGTTTAACTACAAGTATCAGAAAAACTTAATATTATCAATGATCATGAAATTGAGGCCAAGGTCAGATACAACCAAGCCAGCCTTACAATCATTCCATACACCAAATATTGTTGAACTATAGCATATATAGTATACAAGAAACAGACAAAACCATGACAATGAGGTTAAGTTCAGATAAACCCTGCGAGACAGGCATATTTGTTTTTCATTCATTATTTTGTACATAAATCATGGCGTTAGTTTTCTCGTTTGAATTGTTTTACATTTGTCATTTCGA